TTCCCAGGAGCTGAACATTTACATTCTGAAGAGGCCAATACGGATGCCAAGATTCTGGGGTAATGATACTTACATCAGCACCTGTGTCCAGCAGGCCAGTAATAAAAATGCCATTTACACACACTCTCAGTTTAGGTCTTTGATCATTTATAGAAGTTTGCCAAAACACACGTAACTTATCTTTCTGATCATTATTGCTTGTAACAGTAGGCATGGGGCTTCCTAATTGTCCTGATGAGGCACGTTCTCTGCAGAAACTGGATATGACTGAACCATGTTTGCCATGGGGGCCTGTGAGGCCCCCCCTCTCACGTTTCCCGGCTGTATCAGGTTGCCTTGTCTATCTCTTGTAGACCTGCATTCATTCGTCCAATGTCTGCCCTTTCCACATCTTCTACATAAACCTGAAGGCTGAGTCCTCCTATTTCTGTTATTTCTAGAAGTTGCATTATTATTATTATTATTTCTGAAAGATGCATTATTGTTATTATTATTATTATTTCTGTAAATCCGTTGTCTACAATTCCTTTTCATATGACCCATTTTGCCACAATTAAAACATTTGGTATTCTGGTGTCTCCTTTTACCATTGGAAATTGCTTCTTCTACCCATGCTTCAGTGCCATAATCAAATGTATCAACATTGAGTGTATGCAAGACCCATTCTTCCAACGGCGCTGATCTGAGCTTTAAAGGACCCAAAATCCTTTTGCATTCCACATTTGCATTTTCATAAGCCAAAGACTCAATCATTATACGTCTTGCTTCTGGGTCAGATATCCCTATTTGTACAGCCTTAGTTAATCTTTGTAAAAAGTCACTAAAGGGTTCTCTCTGACCCTGTTTAACTCTGACAAATGATTCCATTCTCTGTCCTGGGTCTTGTACCCTGTCCCAAGCCCTTAAGGCTGCTGTAGTACACATGGAGAGTGTGTTTTCATCCAAATTAGCTTGTTCCTGAGGATCGGAAAAGGGCCCTTCACCTAGAATTTGATCTAGGGAAATGTCAATTCCCTTCGCTTTTTCCTGCTGTTCTAAGAGTCTAGCCTCTTGCCTGAATAAGCATTTCCATTTCAATTGCGGTCCACTCTCCAGTACCGCAGAGCTCAGCTGGAGCCAGTCTGAGGGGGTTGCTCTGCTTGTCGTGGCCCAAGATCTTAGCATCTCTTTAACAAAAGAGGCTTGCATCCCAAAAGTCATGACAGCCTGTTTTATTTCCTTGAGATCATTCATACGCACAGGTTCCCATGTATCCTCCTTGATGACCCTAGGGTTTTTGGAACCAATCACCTTCTCTGTTGTTATTACTGGAAAGGCAGGTAGAGCTGTAGGTAGAGCTTTGTGGAAATTGTCCCGGAGAGACTTACCCACAGATGTAGTTAAAATTTTCCTTTCTACCCTTTGCTCTTCCTCATCAGAATTTAGAAATTCCTCAATCTTTTCAATTCTATTCACCATTGCTTTCTGCAATGTCTGAATCTCCTGTCCAGAATTATGTTCCAAAGCCTTCATTGAGGATTCTAAAATATGAAGTTTGTCCGTTAGAGATAACATCTCATCTTTGGACATAATTTTTATGGCATAAACCGTGCCTTCTTGTATTGACAATCTTTCCGTCAATCTGTCATAAGCTTTAGACAAAATCCGATTGTCACATTCAGCAGTTTTGATTCTCTCAGTTAATGTTTCATTTCCTACAGAAAGGGACTGAATCTTATGGTCCAGATCAGCTGTTCCCTCTTCCATAGTAATGAATTTCTCCTTAACATCAGCCTGAAGAACTTCAACCTGATTCTTGAGAAGATTGTTATCAGCCTGGAGAACTTCAAACTGATTCTCGAAAAGATTGTTATCAGTCTGGAGAACTTCAAACTGATTCTTGAGAAGATTGTTATCAGCCTGGAGAACTTCAAACTGATTCTTGAGAAGATTGTTGTCATTCTCAATTGTTTTTAAGCATTCAATCTCTACCTTAAGAATCCTGGATTCGTCTCGTAAAGACTTTATCATATTTCTATTATCAAACCATTTGGTGCCAATGAAAACTACGAATCCCAGAAGGATCCATATATGTGGGGTGATAGACACCTCTTGTAAAATCTCCCACATGGTACAATTAAAAAAATCATTAAATTCTTGAACAGTAATGTGTTCAGACATTTTATTTATAAAAGAAAATTTTTTTACCTGCAAAGATCGGTTCCTGCCAGTGGTGGTCTCTGTGTTTTTGGAGCCTGTCCTAGAACTAGCTCTTGTAGACCAGGCTGGCCTTGAACTCACAGAGATCCACCTGTCTCTGCCTCCCAAGTGCTGGGATTGAAGGCGTGCACTACCAAGGCCTGGCAGGCCTCAAACTCACAGAGATCTGCCTGCCTCTGCTTCCCAAGTGCTGGGATTAAAGGCGTGCTCTACCACTGCCTGGCCGGCCTCAAACTTGTGATCCTCCTGCCTCTGCCTCCTTCAGCAAATCCTACCGGCGTGGGCCACCACAACCGGCCAAGTCACTTTGTAACAGACCAAATCTGACGCTGTGGCAGCTTTTGTTGCAAAACCGCAAGTACTTGAGCTTCTGCTAATTCAGGCAGTGGGGTTCCGCTGCAAAACTTAGCCAAGGCAGGCAGAATGGGCCTGTGTCGCCGAGTGTGTCTCGGACTGGGCACTGGGGCCGGAGTCACGAACTGAAAAACAGCACTGGGGAGGGTGCTGTGTTAGCTAGCGGGCTACCCGCTTGAGTCGGGGGCAAAATAGCCCGACGTTGGACGCCAAAATGTAACGGCGTAAATGAATGCAGACAGAGTGTAAAAATATATATATAGCTTTAATGTAGAAATAGACTTACAGAACCACCGTTCCCGCGGAGACCAGGAAAGCAGAAGCAAGCGCTCGGAGCTTGCTCGCCAAATTTATAGGCAGACATTAGCCCGAGGCGAACACGCCCCCTAAGGGGCGGGACTTATCCCTACACCTCATAAATCTTGAAAGAAAAATTTCAACTTCATATGTAAACACAAAAAAAAAAACCAGAATAAATCTTTCCTGGTAAGCCACTGCCACATGGCAATACATAGATTAATAAAAATGAGCTAAATCAAGGCATAAGAGTTAGTTAGCCAATAAGATGTTAGAGCTAATAGGCCAAGTAGTGATATAATAAACACAGTTTCTGTGTGGCTATTTTGGGGCTAAGCTAGCTAAGTGGCAGGGACAAAGAAGCAGCCCTTTCCCTTGCAACATATCATTCTTGAGCATATACCTAAAGGATGCTTCATCCTACCAAAGGGAACCTTAATCAACCATGTTCATTACTGAACTGTTCATAATAGCCAGAAGTTGGAAACAATTAGTTGTCCCACAACAGAAGAATGGATGACGAAAATGTGGAACATTTACAGACATTAAAAAGTGAAATCAGCTGAGTGTGGTGGTGCACGCCTTTGATCCTATCACTTGGGAGGCAGAGACAGGGAGATCTCTGAGTTTGAAGCCAGCTGGTCTACAGGACAGAGTTCTAGGACAACCAGGGGTACACAGAGAAACTCTGTCTCAAAAAAAAAAAATGAAATCATGAAATTTGCAGCTAAATGGATGGAACTAGGAAAAATCATCCAGAGTGAGGTATTCCAGACCCAGAAAAGCAAATATGGTATGTATTTACTTATACGTGGATATTAGCTGTGAAGTCAATAATAACCACATTACAATCCGTAGAGCTACAGAGGGTAAGGACAGAGTAAGGGGCAAAGGGGGTCAGATGGATCTCATTAGGGAAGGGAAAGAGAATAGATCCGGAACAGGAGGATCAAGTCGGAAGGGGGAGAGAAGTGTGGGATAAGAGAGGCATATGTGGAGATTCAGTTAAGATTAAGGGTGCTGGGAATTGTACCTGGGACCTCTGGAAGGCAGCCAGTGTTCTTAACTGCTTAGCCGTCTCTCCAGCCCCTACTTATTATTTATTTGTTGGTTGATTGGTTGGTTTATTCATATGAGTGGTGTGTGTGTGTGTGTGTGTGTGTGTGTGTGTGTGTGTACCTGAACATGCACACACACAAACACCATAAACACCATGGCCTGTGTGGAAGTCAGAGGACCACTCTGAAAGTCTCCCACTAGAAGGTTCCCTCATACAGAACTTGGGTCATGAGGCTTAGCAACAAGCGCCTTTCCCCACTGAACCACATCCACTGGCCCTGCAAAGCTTCCTTCTGCAGTAGATGATAATTAATACAGACAGGCACTACCAGTCAGTGTACGTAGGACAGGACACAGTGGAGTGCTCAGCTGTAAATGCAACATCTGTATCACACCTCTCCCAAAGAAGAGAGGACAGAAAGTGATGTGGGAGTCCCCTCTGTATGCTGTGAATACCATCAGTTAATAAAGAAACTGGCTTGGCCTGATAGGGTAGAACAGAGCTACAGGGAAAAAACTAAACTGAATGCTGGGAGAAAGAGACAGATGCTGGAACTTCACCCGGTAAGCCTCATGGCGATACACAGATTAATGGAGATGGGTCAGTTTAAATTATGAGTTAGCCAAAAATACACGTCAGCTATTGGTCCAACAAATATTGCAAATAATATAGTTTCTATGTGGTTATTTCAGGGCTAAGCAGCAGGGAACTAATTAGTGGCAACGACAACAAGAAAGGCTTAAGCCAGGGGAGCAAATGTCTATAGTTGAACTCTTTGCTGGGCATGACAAGCCTGTTGCAGATATGAACTCACAGTAGCTGTGAGTACATGCCCAAATCCTGAGTAAAAATATCAAATATCCACCACAGAGTGGACAAGTCCACAGGTCCAGCCTTAGCTGAGCAGCAACTGGCAGTTAATGGCAGCCGGTGGAGCAAGCTAGTTTTCCTCAGCTCTCAGTGGCACGCAGGCTCCTATAGACAGTCCCACACCTATGCCTGTATGGGCAGCACTAAGGGAATGCGGTGGGTTTAAAAACAAAGGCCATGGGTCTCCCGCTGGTCCTCGTCTTTGGTCGGGCTAGCCGTCATGTCTGTCCTGATGCCACTACTGCTGAGAGGCCTGACCCGCTCTGCCCGGCGGCTCATGGTGCCGCGCGCTCAGGTCCACTCTAAGCCGCCTCCGCGGGAGCAGATCGGAGTCGTGGATGTCACCGTTGGGCTCACTTCCTGCTTCATCTGTTGCCTCCTGCCTGCGGGCTGTGTCCTGTCACATCTGGAAAGCTACAAGAAGCGGGAGTGAAGGGAGCTTCCTCCCCCTGTGACTAGACCACCCTTGCCAGCCCATCTTGATCATGTTTCCTGCATTCCTGGCTGGCCTTCCCTGGAATCATGCCATTCAATTCCAGTCACCTCTTCTGCAATCATGACCTCTCGTTGTTTCCATGGTGACAACTGGGACCATATATATTGCTGCTGCGTGATGGGGTCCCCCTTGTAACAATAAAGTCTGTTTAAACCTTGAAAAAAAAAAACAAAGGCCATGAAGTAGTGGGGCATAAGGAAGGAATTAGGGGACGTTTGGGTGAATTTAACAAAAATGTGCATGTGTGAAATTCTCAAGCAGTTAAAAGAATTTTAAAAAAAATGTTATACGCATCCAGTAATGAGACAAAAAAATAACAAGAAGAATACAGATACATTTTTCATTTACAGATATATGATTGAATAGTTGCCTTTTAAAAATAACTCTGGGGGAATAAACATTCCATGGTTGCTCTATTTTGTCATTTATATTATATTAAAGAAAACTTTATTTTGTGGGTACTCAATTTAAACATGTGCATATTTTCAAATATCCATGAGCTGGGGAGATAGCCCATGCAGTATAGCCCTTGCCATATGTGCAGTTTCAGTGAGATTGGCCTGCATAATCCCATAGCGAGTGGCACTCCTAGAAAGGGTGACTTTCTTGGAGTGGGTACGGCCCGATCACTGTGGGGCTGGTCTTCGAGGTTTCCTATGTTCAGGAGCACTCAGTCGGCTTCCTGTTGTCTACAAATGTAGGGGTCTTGGCTCCTTCCTCATCACCATGTCTGCCTCCTCACCACCATGCTCCCCACCACGATGACAATGGACTGAATCCCTGAAACTGTAAGCGAGACCCCAATTGAATGTTTTCCTTTGTGAGAATTGCCAGCCAGGCAGTAGTGACACAAGCCTTTAGTCCCAGCTCTCGAGAGGCAGAAGCTGGTGGATCTCTGTGAGCTTGAGGCCAGCCTGGTCTACAGAGCAAGTTCCAGGACATCCAGAGCTATTTCACAGAGAAACCCTGCCTCGAAAAACCAAAAAAGGAGAAAGAAAGAAAGAAAGAAAGAAAGAAAGAAAAAAAAAAAGAAAGAAAGAAAGAAAGAGAAAGAGTTGCTGTAGTCATGGTATTTCTTTACAGCAATAGAGACTCTGACTAAGGTTTACAAATGAAAGAACCTGTTTAAATCCCCAGTCACATAAAAGCCAAGCATGGCAGCACCTGCCTGTAATCCAAGGAAAGAGAGTGGCAGAGACAGATGGATCCCTGATGTGCTCTGGGAAGCTTCTTTAGCCAACCAGTGAGCTGCAAGTTCAATGAGAAACCCTGCCTCAAAAACTATGGTAGAACTAGGCATGGTGGTGCATGCCTTTACTTCCAGCACTCAAGTGGCAGAGACACATGATTCTCTAAGTTCAAGGCTAGACTGGCCTATAGAGTGAATTTTAGGACAGCCTGATACATACATGCATACATATATATACACATATATATATATATATATATATATATGATAGACCTGTGAACTAAACATACACACACATATGCATGTACATGTGCACAGAAGCGTGAACCCATGTATACACACATACAAACATACACCACACACACTCTGTCTGAATATAGATGATTGCCTATGTAACGCTTTATACAGATATAATTAAAGAAGGGGGTTACAATTTATACTGCGACTCCTTTTATTCCCTTAGCAAATTCCTGGTAACTCCACCAGATTACAAAGGGCTGCTCAAGAAACCTAAGTGAAAACCGTCTCTCCTGAGTACATATCACAATTCCCATGGTGCTCTCATCACAGAACCAATGTGTAACTTAAGAAGGTAGCCTGGAAGGAAGGGTGGCCTCTCTAGAAGAACTTGCTGTAAACCAATAATTCTCAACTTTAATAAACTCACGAGTTATCTGAATTCCTTGATAAATGCAGATGGAGATTCAGTTAAGCCAGGAAGGGGTCCGCAGCTGCCTTCTTCCCTCTCTGGTGCGGCTGCTGTAGACCATATGGTGCAGGAACCATAGTACTAAAGCATTACTCATCTCATGTGCTAACAGAAAGCGGCCTTTTGTGACTTTCAAAGTCAATGTTCTTCACAATATTCTATTTGTAGCCAGGCGGTGGTGGAGCACACCTTTAATCCCAGCACTCGGGAGGCAGAGGCAGGCGGATCTCTGTGAGTTTGAGACCAGCCTGGTCTACAAGAGCTAGTTCCAGGAAAGGCTCCAAAGCCGAATATATATATTCATTTGTGTAACTTGGGTATCTTATATTCTTTGTAACCAAAGTTTCTTCAAGTTGAAATAAAATTTAAAATCATTAAGGAAAATAACAAGACTAAACCTCCAGATTATTACTTGAAACAAAGCTAGGAAAGAAAAGAGTCTACAAAAGCACCGGGCACAATCAGTTCTCTTTGGGAAGATTGGTCTTCAGTATGGGGGCTTGTCAGACCTAGGGAGATAGCTTTTATACTGGGTAACACAAGATGATTGCTAAGTTCGTAAGGCTAAAAGTATTTCTGAAGGTCTACAATTGCCTAGTTGAATTGCTTTTAATGCCTTTGGATTATTATTATATTACCCCACAGGGAATTTAAGCAAAACATAAACATGTATCTAAATGGCCTTAGAAGAAAGCTTGTCCCGTCTCCTGTTTTAATTAGATATGTCTTGCATAAGAAACATATAAATGCAGACTCTGGTTTCTAGCAAGGCCACAGCGCTAAATAAACCCACTGGTGTATTATTTTGTTTGCTTTTTCTCCCTTAATTAAGTTTTTAAAGTTTCCTTAGCTCGCTGTGTGGCTGCCTCAGCACTGGCAGCTGGGTTTGTGGTGAAGGGCTGAGAGAACACACACCAGTTTTCCCTCTCCACTGCTAACTATACCTCCTGTGCAGATAAATGGGAACTCAGAATAAACAGGAAGGGAACCAGTTATCTTCACACTAGATGCCTTCATAGACGTCTCCTCATATCATGCATAAGAAAAACTCATTATTGATGGTAACGGTTGAGGAGTATTCAAAACTTTGCCAACTGGGCAGAAAGCTTTCCAAGGCTTACGGAAAACAGGGATAGTGTCCAATTCTACGATGCCAACGTCTTCAAGTATTTAGCTGGCCTGGGCTCTATCTTCACCAACATCTCTGGATTGGAGGCTCCTTCAGAGGCCAATTTCAATCACTGCAGGGGTTGGCAAGCAGAGTAACCCAAAAGGGGCAGCACTGGCTTCTCTCCTGCTCTTTATATGGGCCTCAGAGAAGAAATCTAAAGTTGACAAATGGCATACATGGCCAATGGCTGCACATAAGAAAGCTGAATAATTTCAAGATTTTGTTTAATCTCACTTTTATTTTGCTTTAGTTTAATATTAATTAATCAATTAATTGTTCATGTGATTTAAAACTGAGAACAAACAGAAGCACATGTACAATGTGAGGTATGTTTGTTAGTATAGCCAGATCCTGATATGTACACCTAAGCTAATAGGACTCACTCTACGCAAACTGTAGATGTATATTTATATTTATTTTTGCTTTAAGAATGTACCAAGGAAGAAAACTTAGCAAATTCATATAGCATTCTTTAATTTATAATTCTGTTCTCCAGGTTACGTATGTGGGTTATATGCTTAAAAAGTCACATGTGAACTAAGGTATACATAGAAAAAAAGAGACAGGAAGAAATATGCCTACATGTTTAAAGTAATTATTTTTTAAATATTTATTTATTATGCATACAGTGTAGTGCCTGCATGTATTCCTGCAGGCCTGAAGAGGGTGTTAGATCTCATTATAGTTGGGTATAACCCACCATATGGTTGCTGGGAATTAAACTCAGGACCTCTGGAAAAGCAGCCAGTATTCTTAACCTCTGAGCCATGTCTCCAGCCCATAAAATAATTTTTTTAAGAATAAAATTAGAGTTTATTTTTAATTATTTTCTTTATGATTTTTTCTGCTTAATTTTTCCAAAATCCCTGAGCATTTTAAAACCAAAAAGAGGGCCAGAGAGAAGACTGGGTGTGGGGCGGCACTTGCCACATTAGCTTGAGAGCTTAAGGTTTAGTTTTAGCTCTCCAGTGAAAGGGCAGGATAGGTATTGGTTAGCCTGGCTCTTGGGAACCTATTCTTTATACTGGTTTGCCTTCCCCAGTCTTGATATATGGGAGGTACTTACTCTTAGCTCAACTTGATATGCCATGATTTGTTGATATCCATGGATGGCCAACCCCTTCCTGAATAGAAACAGAGAGTGGGTTGAGGGGGTGGGGATGGAGGGGAGGTGGAATGAGGGAATTGGAGGAGAGGAGGGAGGGGTCAGGATGTAAAATTAAGTAAATAAATAAACACAAACAAAAGAGTAAAGAAACAGACCAAATGCTACAGCCATCAGAAAAAAAAAGCCCATAAATAAATAAATAAATAAATAAAATTAATTAAAAACTCCACCCCCAAAACCTCCTATCCCCTGTAACCTCAGAGGAACTCTGAAACTCAAGCTGTGATTGCACAGAGAGGACCAAGAGAGGAACTCTGAAGCACAGGCTGTGACAGCAGAGAATGGACCAAGACAGCAGACTAAGAGAGGAGACCAAGAGAATGGACCAAGAGAACGGGCTAAGAGAGATCTCAGCAGCTCCCTGAGACACAGACAGCAACAGTACAGAGCAGACCAAGAACAGCTCCCAAAGACACAAGCAGCAACGGCAAGGATTGGACCAAGAGGCAAGACACTGCTGGCACCAACTGGAGGAAGAGATGGGCAGGCAACAATGCAAGAATCCATTCAACAACCTAAAAAACAACATGGTAACACCAGAACCCAGTGGTCATTCAACAGGAAGACTTGAACATCCTAACCCAGAAGAAGCAGAAGAAATCGATTTTAAATGTAACTTTTTGAGAAAGATAGAGACCTTTAAAGAGGAAATGAAAATTTTCCTTAAAGAAATGGAGAAAAAGATAAACAAAAAATTTGA